CTTTGCTGCTGCTGCTGCTGCTTTGCTGCTGTTGCTGCTTTGCTGCTGCTGCTGCTGCTTTGCTGCTGTTGCTGCTTTGCTGCTGCTGCTGCTGCTGCTGGCAATACTAAGCCCGTGCGTGTGGCGGAAGCTTCGCTGCTGCTGCTGCTGCTGCTGGTGTGGTGCTTATTCTTGGCGTTGCTGCTGCTGCTTCGAAGCAAAGAAAGGAGACAGCTTGTCGAGTGTCTCCTTTTGCTGCTCAGGCCCTGTGTCTCTGCCCCACAAGAGAACTTGCGCAGCAAACTGTTTGGGTTTTGAAGGACCTGGCCAGGTTTACGCAGCTGCTAATCTTCTTGGCCGTCCCCCAGTCAAAGCCAGGTCCTGCTGCTGCTGCTGCTGCTGCTGCTGTTGCTGCTGGTGTGTTTGATGCGTTTGCTACGGCTGCAGGTGTGTTTGTAGTCTGCTGCTGTTTGTAGTCTGCTGCTGCTGCTGCGCTTGGAGCCTTTGCTGCGGCTGCTGCTGCTGTTGTGCTTGGTGCTTTTGCCGCTGCTGCTGCTGTTGTGCTTGGTGCTTTTGCCGCTGCCGCTGTACTTGATGCCTTTGCTGCTGCTGCTGCTGCTGAATTTGCTGTAGTTGCTGCCCGTGCTGCTGCTGCTGTTTGCCGTCGTTGCTGCTTCGGCGCAGCTGCAGTTGCTGCTGCTGCTTCGCAGCAGCAGCAGCCGCTGTTTAGGGTGCTGCACTGCTGCATGCAGGGGGCCGCGCATGCACCTGGGGTGTACAGACATCTGGCTGTATGCACCTGGGGTGTACAGACAGCTGGCTGCATGCACCTGGGGTGTACAGACAGTGGCTGCATGCACCTGGGGTGTACAGACAGTGGCTGCATGCGGCGGAGTGTACGTACAGGCATTTCGGACTTTCCAGATGTTCTTTCTTCCGGAGCTGGAGGACTTTTTGCTTTAAATGCAGAAGGCCGTTCTGTTGTCTTCACTCCAAACACTTCGCCCACTGTGCAGCAGCAGATCGTCGTCGGAACCCCCGGTGCTGCTGCTGCTGCTGCTGGTTTTGCTGCTGCGCGGGGGGAGGGCGTTTGTTTTGAGTCGCTGGGAGCAGCTGCTGCAGTAGCAGCTGCTGCTGCAGAGCCGTCCGACCCGTCGCCCAACCTGCTGCTGCTGCTGCATGCAGGGGGCCTCTGCTGCTGCTTGCATGCGCGGTTTGCTGCTGCGGTTTGCTGCTGCTGTTTGCTGCTGCAGGCAAGACGATGGAGCTGCTGAAGAAGCGCCGCTTCGGAGGTGACCTTGTTCGAATGTTTGTTTTAGACGAGGCCGACGAGCTCATCAACTTCGCCAACAACATGGCCCCACAGGCGAGCCTCTTGCTGCTGCTGCTGCTGCTGCTGCTGCTGCTGCGTTGGTGGCAGTCAGGGTGCTGCTGCTGTTGTTTGCCTCGCGGGCCTGGCGCTGCTACTTTTTCTGCTGCTGCTGTTGATGACTTTGCTGCTTCTGCCGCTGCTGCTGCAGCAGCCTGGAGCGTGCCAGCAGCAGATCACCACCATCATAAGCAGCAGCAGCAGCAGCAGCAAGTTGTGGCTGTGTTTGCTGCTGCAGGTGCAGCAGATTCGCCGCTTTTTGCCGCGAGACCTCCAAATACTTCTTTTCTCTGCAACTTATTCTGACCCTGTCCGAAACTTCGCCGAAAAACTAATACCCAGGGCCAACAAGATCACGGTGCGCTGCTGCTGCTGCTGCTGCTGCTGCTGCTGCTGCTGCTGCTGCTGCTGTTGCTGCTGCTGCGCTGCTGCCGCTGCTGCTGCTGAAGACACTGAGGCAGAGACTCTTTCGCCGGCTGCAGCTGCAGCAGCTGGCTTTCTTTCTGCGGTGCCTCTCTGCTGCTGCTGACTGTGCTGCTGCTGCTTGCTGGTGCCGCGGCCTGTGCTGCTGCTGCTTCTGCTGCTCAGCAGCAGCAGCAGCTCTGAGGCTGTCTCCTTGTCTCCCGAAGTTCTTGTGCAAAGAGTCCCCAAGTTGCGCAGCAGCAGAAGCAGCAAAAGGCCCGCGTGCATGCGCGGCTGCATGCAGGGAGTGTGGGGTGTGGGGTGTACGTACAGCTCAAAAGAGAAGAACTCACCCTCTCCTGCATCC